CTAGAAATCCGTAGTATAACGCCATTTCTTGGCATATTATATAACACTTGTAAGGAAGAAGGCGTGATCTATATTACAAATGCTCTCCCGCGTTGCTCTTTGATAAAACCGTAAGGACTTATTAAGACACCTTAAGCTAAAATATGGTTTCAAAAATTCACTTTCCAAACAAATAATTTAAAACTAACTAGTGTCAACAATGAACCTATATTTAAAGAACTATAAATAGATGAATTCAAAAATGCAATAGATTTACAATTGATGTTCAAAACAGTTGGGTTACGGATTGTGAAATTTAGTGCCCCCTATATGGAATTACGTGGGGTTGTTTATCTACATGGGTGGTCCTTGTGTAAATTATGTAAATTTTAGTTAGGCTTTAAGGGGTTGTATTCTTATAATTATGTTGTTGTGGTGATAGTTAGTATGGGTGGGCTTTGTAAAAATTGTGTTGGTTTTTATTGTGGCTTAGGGGATTTTATTCTTAGGCGGCTTTAGGTGGGTTTTAGATTCTAAAGATTGGGTTGCGGGGTATTAAAATTATTTTATAAAATATGTTTTACAACATATTCTTATAAGATAAATAAGAGTGTGGGGTTTGTTGCTACTTTTGTAAGCACTATTTGACGATTACAGTTATAGCAACACAGTTGTGGCGTGGGATTTGTTGCTATTTTTGAAAGCACCATTTGGCGAGTGCAGTACAGTCATAGCGACAGTTTGTTTCAGTGGTGCTATGGTCGTAGCAGTATGATGCTAGTTGGGTAATCTATTAAGTTTCATATATAATTTATAGAGAGATTTCTGTATATCTAAAATATGCCATACAAAGTGTATAATATTTATAAAAATAATTGTAATTTGGAAGTAAATAAATCGCGGGAAGGGTGCCCCGCGAGTGGGGTTCGGGCTTGAGGTCATCATAATGGTCAAAAGTTGCGGCATGTGACAAACCTTTATCTCGTCAGGGCCATGTCGGAATGTCTAAACTTGTTTCGAAGAAGTTAAAGTACTAAAACAACTCCATGGCCTACAGCTTAGTTACCACGTGAAGTTTTGGTGGGTGATGGACTCATACCCGAGGAGTCTCCTAATTCATCTGGTGTGCGTGTCGAGTATTATATGGTGATACTTCGTAGTGTAGACCAATATAATATGTTCCCACAGCTTAATTTGGTGTTTTAAGGGCAGATTAATATGTAAATTAGAGTATTGAAACTAGAGGGGGGTTGGGTACGAGAGTGCCTATTCATATATACATGCATGTGTGTATACATATGTTCGCATGTTTAAACACATTCATACGGATATAAGCACACACACATATAACATGTGTGCTTTCATTATATAGTGGTACATAATATCTATTTTTAGAGGGTTTGGTTGAGGGGTGCGTGCATAAGTTATACATGTGTATACATAGACACACATAAACATGTTTATACACACAAATACATAAACACGCACACACAAAAACATCATATATGTGAAGAACATGTATATATACATACACGCACATACGTGCATACGCGCGCGCATACACATGCACATATATATATATATATATATATATATATATATATATATATATATATACACACACACATATACATGTATATATACATGCACACACACATATAGATAAACACACACACACACACATTTACACATACATATACAATTATACACCCACCCGCACACACATCTATACATACATATATGCATACATATCCATACACATCATTTTTAGGTTACAAAGTAAGGTAAGGGAGTTAGGTGCTAGGGGAAAATTAAAAAATTTATAATCTTAGGGTTTATATTAAATCCTACCGTTTCTAGCATTTGGCTATCGCTAAGTTCTTCGGTTTTTGGGTCTTTTCTTGGCATAGACCCGTCTTCGCTTTTACTTCCAGTATCCTGTTCCGGTTTACCATTAAACTTTAGTGTAGACTTTGTTGTTTTTAATGGATACTAATGTGCCAACGTTCTCGGTCAGTCTGGTAGTGGTGGAATTCTTCCTTTTTTCTAGCGCTCCTCAGATATCTTGTGTTATGAAGACATCTTCTGGTGAGTCCAGATTCTATGATAAATTCTTAGTGTGTAAAACGTGTGAGAGTGGTACGAATTGATATCAATAGTGAATTATAGTAAGTGTGAGTGTATTGAGTGGCGAGTTACAGTGTGGTGGTAATAATGAGTGCTGTTCAACATATAAGATAATTTACTATAGGATATGTTGTTTGTTGCTGGGTGTTGTGGTGAGTTGTTTTCTGTTGTAAGATTCCGTATTCAAGAAATGTTAAAAATATATACAGCCGCGAGGAAACGAAAATATAAATGATAGGATAAAAACAAAATAAGGTTCTTCAGAGTTTTTTTCTTTTTCAAAGTAAACGATTTAGGAACGAACGCTGTGATTGTAGTCTTGTTGCTTGTGAGCAGATATCTGATGAAAATTAAATGTGCATACATTTGAATATTAGATTTCTGTTTCATGAACTTGTATTGTTGTATCGATGTTAGTTTTCAAAGGTTTATTGTTTTATTCATGTATCAGAAATTATTAGGTGTCCTCAGGACACCTAATAATTTCTGATACCCACTATGTCCCTTATTGTACCACCCTAATCTTAAACAAACAATTAACTAAGGTGTACTTTTAAGGCATCGCATGGCCGCATATTTTAGCTTTTTTTACGTTCGTGGCATTCTTACTACTTTTCGTTATTTTTTAGGTGTTTTATTAATATCTTAAATAATCTTTATAATCGGTATTATAATAAAATATAAGAATATCCTATTATATAATCGGATTATTATTAATGTTTGTTCAAAATCTCTAAATTTAATTTTTTAATGATTCGTTTTATGTTAAGTTGTTATTAGTATATATAATTGCAAATATGTCAGGTAATGAATTATTTAATCCTATGTTGTTTATCTAAAGTATATTTGTTTATACAAAATTTATAAATTTGTTTATATCACGTTTATAAAAAATATTACCAGGTTAATAGCAATGTTTAATATGTCTTTATATCTTTAGTGCCACAACCTGTTTAATACAAATATTTAATTTAAATATTTATATTAAATCATTATATCTTTAGTGCCACAACCTATTTATATAAATATTTATTTTAGATTTGGAATGTAGGATTTTATATACACTGAAAATAAATTATTTTTATTTAGATAATGGTATTAAAGAAAACATTGGTTTGATATTTTAAATGTTTATTTTTATTTTGTCATCTTAAGAAACTTAATTATATTTGAATATATCTATATTGAAATAAGTAAAATATTCAATAACAATTCAATAACAAATAACAATTCAATAGCAATGTTTTAATTTGTATATCTTTATATGTATGTTAAGATATACAAATTATATAAATATCTTGTCTTTTATATCTTTAGTGTTACGACCTATTGATAATCTTAAGATTCAATTTCAATATATTTCAATAATTCAAGATTTCAAAAATTCAATAAATTTTTATTTTTTGTGTGGAACATTAAATAAACTAAATATTAAAGTGCTAAATTTATTTATAAATTTGTATCATTTTAGCATTTACGCTGTTAAACCAGTGAGTTTTTTAAAAATTATTTTTTTGTTTGGATAAAATAATTTTTTTGAGTCTTATCAATAACTTTTTTTTATGTATTTTTTTTAGTGGAACAGATTTTTCTAATAATCTCATGTTTAATGTCATAATATTTTACTGTATTTGTAAGTCGTATGCTGTCTACATGTACACTATTAAAAATTAAAGTCTCCTTTTGCTTTAGTAACAAGGTTAATACAGTTGGAAAATCAATCGTGTATGTGATTTTATTATTGGTTAAATCTTTTTTATTTTATACGAATTTTATTTTATATAATTATAAAATTTTATTATATATAAATAAATTTGTATTTTTATTTTTCTTCATTTATTGAATAATACATTATAGCCAGAACAAATGATAATAATGCAATTACAACAGCAGTGGCAATAGGTAATTGAATTCGTAGTCTTTACATCTTTTATATTTATATGTAATTTTTACATTATTTTTTTCTTTTTAGATTTATCGTATAATGCTTTCATGGAGTATAGAAGAGCAAAGAAAGGGCCCACATCCCATAAAGCACACAGGGTGTGGACCCAAAATGGGGGAAGGGGCTCTCCTTTTTTTCATTGGAGTGAGGGTCCATTTAGAGGGCAAAGTAGAAGGGAGAAGGGAGGAAGGGAAAACATTTAACTACATCTACAATTAGTTATTTTGTAGTTTATGAATCTGCTAATTCCCAGTAAACAAAAAGACGTCTAAAAGAAATTTAAAAGATGTCTTTAATCAAGTCTAAAAGGCGCATTCATAGACGTCTAGATCATAAGGCTAAAAGACGTTTTTGTATAAACGTCTTTAAGACATCTTTAAATAACGTCTAAAAGGTGCATTAAAGACGTTTAGATCATAGTGCTAAAAGACGTCTTTGAATAGATGTCTTTAAGACATCTTCTAATATGTAGATGTCTTTAAAAAGACGTGTTTAAGTTGCTATTTTCAGACGTCTAGAAGACTTTAGTTGGCAGATGTCATTTTTACATATTTTCAACAGGTGTTAAACATCTTTTTAAAGGTCTTAAAAGACATACTTTCTAAAAGCGTCATTATTTACACAAGATTGCAGTTGTATTTTTGAACGTATCTATATTAAGGTTTTCAACGCTTCGACAATAAAGACCGGTCATTACACTGAAATGCCTTGACTTCAAGTAGATCTCTAGAAGACGACTGGACTTAAGCTTCTGTTCAGATTTAAAAAGTATTTAAGTAAGAATTATTAAAAGTTATAAAATCAATCGATTGCTTACCCCCCGCTTACTAGATCAAACTTAAAAATAAACACAGTAACACTTGTTTCAAAAACTAATGTTATAGTGTGATTAAAAAAAGTAAAAAAGAAGTAACTAGTAAACAATGGATTTATTGCATATAATATTTTA